GTATATCTCTAATATTTTTTTTATTCTCCTTTATGCTAAATCTGATAAGGTATTTATATGATTTAAATTATGAGATCCTTAAACCAAAAAGATTTTCAACTTCTTTTTAGTTTAAATTTCAAACTTTGATTTCAACTCTAACTTTATAATCCTAAAAAAGTAAACCCAAATAAACTCAACCAACCACCCTTAACTTTCTTGATTTTTTCATTTTTTTAACATTTAAAAAAAACAAACAATTTTAACCCTAAACAAATTGAAGTGTATACAATATGTAATAGAATCTGACTTCGCATTAAAACAATAAAAAATTTTATTGTTTATGCTTTCACCAATCCCTTCCACAAGAAATATAAAGACATCTGGTCTAAAATTTTTTGTCTTTCTAACTCTTTTGCTTGTCCTTATTTTTTGACAAGATTCATCACTAATTTCAGCTTGTTTTAATGGATTTGAAATTTTTTTTCCACTTGTAGGATGAATTACTTGTAGTTATCTCAAAATATATTTAAATATATTTTTATCAAAATTGCATCTCTTGATTCAATGATAGTGTTAACTTAAATTGAATCATTTGGTTTAATAACCATGAACCTATATGCTTTACTATTTTGTGCATATCTTATAAATATGCATTATATTCCTCTTTCACCCAACTTTTTCCTTTTGGGTTTTGAAATTTTAACTACAGCTTTGCATCCCTAAACCTTTAAATAATTAAGATTTGGTTTTCTTTTCTTCCATTACTCATATTAGGAATTCTATTTAGTATATAACGTGTTGTTAATAAAGTTTCACCCTAAAATCCTTATTCATAAACCAGAATATAATAACATTGCATTTACCATTTTTATTAAGACTCTATTCTTCCTTTTAGTTACACCATTCTGTTGGGGTGTATAAAGAGTAATAACTGGGTGGATTATTCTGATAGATTCAAAGTAACTTGGACTATAATATTCTCTATCCCTATCGATCTCAAGCACTTGATAAAAGATTCACATTGAAGTTCAACTTCAGATTTATCTATTTTAAACTTATCAAGTACTTCACTTTTAGAGTATAACAAATAAACATAATAATATCTAGTACAATCTTTTATAAATGAGACAAAATATTTCTTTTTAGACAATGTAGGAATGTTATGCATATCACAAATATCACTATGAATTAACTTAACTTTGTATTTCTTTTAACCTTAGAAAAAGAATTTCTGGTAACTTAGTCAACATACGTATATTACATTTATTAATATCTTGACTAAATTCAGGAATTAACAAAAGCTTACTCATATCATGCAATTTTCTATAATTTAGATGACCTAATCTATAATACCATAAATATGAAAATTCAACTATGTAAGTAGAAACAACATTCTTTTTTTTATGAGTTTGAACATTCTTTCATGCATATACCCTTTCCCAACAAAAATTTTTCTTTTAGACAGAATAAATTTATCTGTCTCAAATACAAGTTAATCAAACTTGTTCAACAGACTTCCAAAGTTCTTCCTAACTTTTGGTATATAATAAATATCATTTAAAGTTAAGAGTTTTTTCATAAATGAATTTAAGGTCAACAATCATTTTGCCTTTGATTATTACTGTAAAAGAATTTCTCATGTAGAAGACACTACCATATTCACTTAGTTTGAATGTTGTGAACATGCTTTTGTCTTTGCACACATGTATTGTTACCCCAAAATCAACCCACCAAGATTCATCATTTTCAAGTATATTGATCTCAAAAATCATAGCAATAAATTTTTCAGAAGTATCCCTTTTTGAAAAATTATTTTTTTCTGTAGCAACCAATATTCTTTCTTGAAATGTCCTGTCTTACCACAATTGTAACATAGGCCTTTTTTATTCTTTTTGAATTTAAGCCCATTAGCAATCTGCTTGAACTTGAACTTCTTTTTGTCAAGCTTTTTAATCTGTCTTTCCTCCAAAACATAAACTTAGGCATCACCAAAATCAAAATTTTATCTTTAATTTTTGTATTCCTCTTCAATTCAAAGATGATTAGCCAAAGCCTTAAGAGTGATTTCTTCTTTTATGTTTCAGACTTCTATTAAAGTCTTTCCATGATAGAGGAAGTTTATCTATTACAGAAGACACAATAATTATTTCATCCATACTCATATTATATTATTTAAACTGATTAAACATTCTTTTAATTTTATACAGTTGTTCAATCACAGAACATCTATCAACCATATGATAATTATTGAAATAAATAACGAAAAAGTTTTTACTTGTTGCATCCTTGGTCATACACCTGGTCTCCAATTTGTCCTATAATTCATTTGCAGTAGATTCATTTCGGTAGGTATCAAATAGACTGTCAGACAAACCATTCAAAATATGGCCTTTACACATGTAGCTTGTATTATTCTATTTTTGCCTCTCTCTTGTTGCAACAACATATTCTTTTATTTCATTTTTTTTTTGGCCTTAGAGTAGTCAAAACATATACAACCTTTAAGATTGAAAGCAAGAAATGCATTTTCTTCTACTATCTTTGAAAATTGCCACCATCAAAATGATCTAATTTAACAAAATTAAAAGTCAATTTCCTGAGCGTTGTTTCGGTAACCATTGTTGAAATGAATAAAATCTTAAGATTATTAGAGCAACACTGAAAAATTGGAATTGCTGCTTCTACTAAACTGAAATTTTGATGAAAGGCTCCAATGCGTATAATGGTACCATTTTTCTTAAGGTTTTATTTGCCCCCACCGTATTATTTACTTAGTAAGTATGCAAAAAGGTTACAGGTAATAAACTTTAAGGATACAATGAAGTTCAGTGACTGATCGTATTTTGCATTGACGAAATCAGTCATTCGAGCAATCAATGGCATATCACAATATCACTAAATTTCTATAAAAATTTTTTACAACAAAACTTTGATAAAAAAAAATATGAAGTTTGAAGAAAGAGAAAGAATTCTAAAAATGATTTCTATGTATTTTTAAAAAATCAAAATAGTTTTTATAAATAGATAAATGTCTTTTTTTACAGATATGACTGTCTATTTTAAATAAACAAAAACTATCTATTTTTGAATAGTTAAAACTATTCATTTTGAATATACTTATTTTTTTTATTTTGAACAAATTTAACTATATATCTTTATTTTTTTCTAATATGAAATTATTTTTTATATTTTATTTTAAAAATTTGTGAGAGTATCAGCCAAGACAATTAAAAGTTAAAACTTCAAAACTTGAACTATACATATCATGTCACTATCTTAGTAGCAGTGTCAGCGTATGTTTTTGTCAAAGTGGAGAATACGTTTATTTATGAACCTTACCAAACAGACGCCAATGTCTTAAAAGTAGAGATAAGATAATGATCGAACATGGTATTTCTATATAGTAATTGCATTCCTTCCCACATGAATGAACTCATCCAAACATGGCAGAAGGCTGAGACAAGCACTGCACAGGTATTTTAAACCTTATCCGAGGTGGGATAAAGCCGGAAAACATAGCACAAAGAAAATTTTATGAACAATCAATTTTAAATTAAGGAACTAAGAAAATGTCAAAACCAAGTTGTTAGTCCATATATTTATATGATAATTCATTTTTTTTTTAAATGCTTGCCGTTGGAAAACCTCTTGTCCTTCTTCTGTTCTTAAGAATTATGTTTAGCTCTCCAACTCATTCTTGTTTTATACCAACTCACATGCGCTTAGGTTTGGTTGCCATGAATCCATTAGTTATCAACTTTATTCTAAAGACAAATAAAATGACCCATGCCATGATATCACACACTACTAATTCCACAAATAGAGCAGTTAAGTACCCTTGGTAAGAAGGAATTGATAATGTCACGTCCTCATCTTGCATTTAAGCCTCCAAGTGGCCAACCTGTCCCTGCTAGCGGTCATGTCCTAATAATACTATTATACTAATACTCCACTGGTACTAGTATAAACAGAAAAATCAATGTTTAATCAATAACAAATTCATCAGACTCAAACATGAATAATTCATTATAGATATTTCACGTTCAAAATGATTGCCCCATAATAATTAGTACTAACAGGCTTTTTTACTAATTAAAGTATTTAATTGATAAGATCTTGAAGTTGGTTCAATTGATCCTATTTCATTTTTAAGATGAGAGTGCTTCAAATTTGAAGTTAAATATTAACAATTATACCTTCTATCCCATTTTTTTTTATTTATTTATTTTTTACAATGTTTCAAAATTATGTTTTATTTTTTAAAACATTTAAAATTTTTATTTTTTTATATTTTAAAATTTTTTTTATGATTTTTTTATTATTTGATATTAAAAATAATGAAATTTTAATTTTATAAAAAATTAAAAATTAATATTAAATATATTACAATCATTAATTTTTTTTTAAATTTCATAAAAATCAATACATGATAAATAATATGAAAAAGAGGAATATAAGGCTCTGTTTGGTTTGAAAAAATATTTTTTTTATTTTTATTTTTAAAAAATATATTTGGTAAATAAAAATAAAAATTATTTTTTAAAATAAAAAATATGAAAATAAATAAAATATTAAATGATATTATTATTAATGACATCTAATTACAAATATAATATATATTTATTACTTAATAACATTAAAAAGTGTTCAAATACGATAACTTACCAAAAAAATTATACATTCCTTTTTTTCTCAAATGAAAACAATTTTTTTATTTTCATATTTTAATTTTTTTTTAATTTTTAATTATTTAATACTTTTTTACTCATTTTTTTATTTTTTAAAAAATAAAAAAATAATTTTACGTTTCAAAACCAAACATTACCTAGTATTTTTATTTTTTTGGAATTCAAATTTGAAATCAAGATTCAATTCTATTGAAATATAATTTTTATTTTATTTAAAAAAAAACTATAAATTATCATTATGCACTACAAAGTCAATAAAGTGAAAATTGGGTGTTTTATTATTAATTAATTATCCTAAACCAACATTTTTAATTTGACCAAACGGATGATCAAATCACCGGTCTAACGTCTAATCATATCTTCTTTTCTTCTTTTTTTTCTCTCCAGCAGTGAAACTCGAACCACGAAAGGAACAAAAACAATATAAAAAGCCCCGCCTAAGCACAAGCCAAAATCCAGGCCAAGCCAAAAGATAAGAGAAAAAACAAAAGAGAAGTGAAGGGTCTCTTGTGAGTCGAGGAGTCCCGTCGAATCGGCCAAAACACTCCAAGGCACCCATAAAATAGTGCAAAGAAACTCTCACTTACCCCCTACCCCCCCGAGCTCCATTTCCTTTTCCTTTTCTTTTCTTTCCTTTTCCATTCCATTCTCTCCCCCCAATCACTATCAACCAAACAACAAAGTTTGGCGTTAATTTCCAGCTCTCCCTTCCGTCGTTTTCCCTCCGTAAAAAAGAAAAGAAAAACAGTTTCCCTTTGTCCCTCATTTTTACGAAACCAACTCTCCTTTCTCTCTTTATCCGTTTTCAGTTAAACTGTTTGTTTGTTTTCTTCCTATGGAAGTTTTAGTTTCAGATCTGATTTACTTCAAAGAAAAAACAGGAGTCCAAGAATTTCAATTGATTTAGAGATTTTAAAGCTGTTTGGTTAGGGTTTTGAAGCGATGCTTGGATCGGAAATGGAGACTAGAATGAAGAAATATCGACAAGTGAGTCCAGAAAGAGCCAAAGTTTGGACTGAGAAATCGCCGAAGTACTATCAACATAACCGTAAAGTTCCTGTTGTTTATTATCTCTGTAGAAATCGTCAGCTTGAACATCCTCATTTCATTGAAGTTCCTCTCTCTTCTCCTGACGGCCTCTATTTGAGAGGTAATTATTAATTAAACTTTCAAATTTTCTTCATTAACCTTTTTTTTTTAAATATTTCTTAATTGATTATTTTAAAAAATTGTGTTGTGTAGATGTGATTGAGAGGCTTAACAATCTTAGAGGCAGAGGAATGGCATCTTTGTATTCTTGGTCTTGCAAGAGGTAAAAAAAAAAGTTTATTTTCTTCTTCTTCTTTTTTTTTTTTTAAATTTAGCGTTATTTGGTTGCTGAGAAAGCGCAGGAAATTAATATAGAATAAGAAAAAAAAAAAGGAACCAAACAGAGAGGCTTTTCTTTTATTTTTCTGCTTTTTGGTTCCTTAGTTTTTGGAGTTTTAATTATTGCAGAAGCTATAGGAATGGATTTGTGTGGCATGATCTTTCTGAAGATGATTTAATTCTTCCTGCCCATGGAAATGAATACATTCTCAAAGGCTCCGAATTATTCGAAGAATCTAGCTCAGGTTAATATCATTTTATATAATTTTTAGTTGATTTCATTGGGGGAGAAACAGGAAATACTAAGGCCAAGGCTTTAATGCTAGTAAATTTTTTTGTTCAGATCGTTTTAGTCCTGTTGGGAATAGCATTAGATTGCAAAATCTTAAGCAATTACCTGAACTGCCATCTTCTTCTAGAAGTCAAGATGATTCTTCGACGTCTTCCAGTATGAACGGAAAGAGAACAAAGCATTCTCAGGATGATGAATTCTCTTCTCCAGTTAATCGTCCAACTCCTGGCTCCTCTGGTGCGTCACCGGAGTCTAGATACGGAAAGAATTCTTCCTGGGGTTGTTCGCTTAGCTTGACTGAGTATAAGGTTTATAAGAGTGATGGGTTATCAGATGCTTCTACACAGACTGAGGAAAACACGATCAGACCTAAGACACGGGAAACTTGTACAAGGGGCGTTTCAACTGATGATGGGTCATTAGAACCCGAATGCAATGCAAATTTCCAAAACCAGGTCCCTAACCCTTGTGCAAAAGATAGCAATGAGATATGCAGGAATTCAGGTTCTCCTCCATCCACTTCTAGTGCATCGTCTTCAGGAGGGAAAACTGAAACGTTAGAATCTTTAATCCGAGCTGATGCAAGTAAAATCAATAGTTTTAGGATTCTTGAAGAGGAAGAAATTCGAATGCCAACCAATGCAAGGCTCAAGGCAACAAGCATGTTGATGCAGTTGATCTCATGCGGGTCCATATCTGTGAAAGATAATAGTTTTGGCCTTGTTCCAACCTACAGACCTAGGTTTTCACATTCAAAATGTTCATCACCATTATTCTCTACTTCAATCATGTTAGGAGAGCTTGATTGCTTATCAGAGAATCCAAGGCTGATGGGCCTGAGATTGGAAGACAAAGAATATTTCAGTGGCAGCTTGATTGAGGCAAAAATGGTCAAAGAAGAAGGAGATGAACAGACCACTCTGAAACGTTCTTCTTCATACAATGCTGATAGGTAAGTTTGTTTTTGAATCTTTTTCTGTTTGATTATTCATATACTCTTGGCATTAAACAAATGAACTGTCTTGATGCTATATGGCAAAGAATTTTAATGGTCAAATGTGCAGATCACTCTCTTTACAATTAGTTTTATAGCAAAGAATTCTGAAATGTGCTCATAATCGGTTACACTTGTGACCACACCATTCCTAGAGTAGGAATGGGAACATAGTTCAAATATCTATGATCTTGGCACAATCAAATTCAACCCAATTGCTTCAGATTAGATCTTTTGCATCAGAGAGTCTAGAATGCCTGTGAATGTGGCAAAGCCCATGAATTACATTTATTGTTTTGTGCTTTTAGTTATATGGAGATATTTCTCAAGGCAACAAGATGCTTGTTTCTATTCTCTATAGGATACCTCATATATAAAGATCTTTTATTTATGTAATCATCTATGTGGTATTTGAAAGCATAATGAATCTTCTAGGTAATACTTGCGTATTGTTTGACACTGAAGGCATCTCTTATTGTTATTTTTTTTGTCATATTGAACAGTTTAATGTAGCTTCAGATGCATTCTTTTGTAGCTTCAGCTAAACGTATGAAACTAAGTGGAATTGCAGGGATTGTAAGGAGCTAGATTCAGCTGAAGACAAAGAAGATTTGAATTCAGGACGTACAAAATGCATCCCACGCTCTATCAAGGCTTCACTAAGCAAGCAACCAAGAAGTGAGTCTATGAGATCTCCTGTTTCTGAAAAACCAAGAAACTCCTCTGATGGAATCGATAACTCACGCTCTGTACTGAGTAGCATATCGAATGGTGGTAGTAAAAGAATCACAGAGCCCATTCCCGGTAAAAAACAATCAAAAAGGTTGGATTCATTCAGAGAAGAGAAGGTGATCAAAATTGAAGAAAGTTAAGTGTAGACTCCTCCCTGCACTTTCTAGATAGATGTTAAAAAACTATTGTTATGTATAATATTTCTTGTTTCTTATTGGCTGACGAATTGGTTTGATTTCCCTCAACAGGCTTGCTTCAGGAGCTCGGGTTATAATCCAATCCAAGGCTCCTTGTGATACAATTGTTGGTTGCTCCTAAGTCTGAGGGGAGCATGTTAAAGGTCAGGTCAGGCAAATGGATACCTTCTCGGATCCTTTTGGAAAAGCTTGTTCAACATAAAGCTACTTGTTTTTTCCAATTTGGTTTGAATTTCAAATGATGTTTAGATATATTGGGGGGTCCAATGTGATGATTCTGTAAATCGGGAAAAGCTATAAAAAGCATAAAAGAGAAAGGTAGATATCACTCCTGATGCTGGAGTAAATTTTTGGTTCAGCTTTCTTATATGAGATTTTGCTTTTATGTAACTGCAGTTGCAATTTCATCATCCTTTTGCATTCCTTCTTTTATTTTCACCCCCAATAACATTTTTCCTTCTTGCTGCTGCTGCAAATGATACAAAAAGTGCACTGATTACGCTGATGTCTCCGGATATTCTGCTCTGGGCGTATAGCATAAATCCAACATTGGAGGTAAAATTTTCTTGAATGTGACGCAGTTTTGCTTCCTTCGATGCGATTGTAATGATCAAAATTATACAACTATTGTTACCTTTTTACCTATAAGCTAGGCTTCGTTTGAAAATGAAGCGTAAGATTGGGAACTTGGAATCCTATGTGGTTCACTTCAGGTTGACCCTGAATGTCAGATTAAAAAGCCTTTTTTTACTCAAAAAAGGTCACAGAAAAAAGTACGTTGCCCACCTCCAACAGCTTCGGTGTTGAGCCTCGAGCGGCATTGCCACTCTGTCTACCTATTGATATCAGTAGATTGACCGAAGACTCTACAATTGGCAATGCTAGGATTAGTGGGACCATTAAATTTTTAATTAGTTAGTATTTATTGGTAACAAAAAGTGTTTTGAGGCCTTTGTCTTAGACATTGTAGGGTACATGATGATCCAATAGCAAAAATTCTTTGAGCAACATTATTTGACCAAAATATTCCACTCATGTGAGTGGCTTATGGGAGTTGGGAGACAATGAGGGCAATCTCATACAATGTTCAAAATTTGTCGAATGAACAAAGACACTCGCAAAAATCAGCCATTTTGTTAAATTTTAATTTTTTTTAAAAATCCGACAAATTGGATTCGGTTTAGAACAAAGTGACTGGAGGCAATGGTGCATGGGCTGCCTAAAAGCTAAATTCACGTGCCAAGACAAAATTTAATGTGGTTCACGGAGTTTAACCTCATAGTGAGAGGCAGACGGAAAAGAAGATGGGCTGCCATTAATGAGTTGTCTAAAATGCGAGCTTTTCTTTTCCTCCTTGTGCTTTCTAGGATGCTGTGGCTACTTTTTTCTCTTTTGCTTTTGATAGGACTGAGGGAAGAAAGCTTTGGGGACCGAGACTATCACCTCTTTTGGTTATATAATAATGCAATACAAATCTTATTCTTATGGTTTACTCAACCCAAAAGACAAACACATTCCGTAGACTTTGCTGTTTGTACAAAGTTTTTATAATCGTCATATCATATATCATTATTGGGTATGCTATAAAATAATAATAATCCAATTATTGTACGAGCTGCAAAATAGGTTTTGGACTAGAATTATTTACACGAACCTCCATTCAAACCTGGCATTTTAATCATACTACTGACATTTATTAACCATTTCATTTGCTAAAAAATTAAAGGTAATAATTCTATTATTTTATATTTCATAAATAAATTGTTCAAAAAAAAAGAAAAAAAATTTAAGGTTTATTTGACTATGTAACGAAACTCTTTTTATCGTTTCGCAATTTAATTTTATGATATCATAGTGCGATCTTTCCACCATGCTGTTCAATGAATTTTTAATCATTAACAGTAGTATGTGGCCAGTGGGTATAAATTAAAGTTTCTCCTCATGGCACAAGAAATCATTAGTGTTTGTTGGAAAACATCTAACAGAGTAAACAATAAGAAGATAATGAATCCCTAGTAGGAAAAAAAATCTCCATCCGAGAAGACAAAGCACTTTTCTTATTGTTATGTTGTTCAATGTTGATGATCTGTGTGCTGAAAACATACAATTTCTCTAATCAAAGCAGTTGGCAGTTTGTTGTTTAATGGTTGAATGATGTATAAGAGAATTGCATGTCAGTTGCATATATAAAGGTTCAGACTACAGACATGTTTATTATATTCTACAGCAAAATTCAGACTCTATTTCATACCTCTGTTTTGTTTTGTTTTGTTTTGTTTAATGAGTTGCAACTGAGTTGAGCTGAGGGGTGCCTAGGGTTCTGTTCATTACAGGTTTCAGTAAGAAATAGGGACAACAGACATTAATGCCGTGATGCGTTCAAGAAAGGTCAAGCATTATAAAAACATGCTCGGTTTGGAAGTGTCCATGTAAAGTTGTTTGCTAGAATTAAAAATCTCTGCCCTTTTCTTTTGACTGAAGCGCCGATGGATGAATGATTTCAGAAATATCGGAATGTATTCATAGATTATTTACCTCAATTCCTGTTGAGTAAAAACCCATGTAAATCTTACCAGAAAAAAAAAAAGAAACCATGTAAATTGGTGGAAGGTAAATTTTGGGTATTGATAGCCGAACTAAGGCAACTTCAAAGCCCATAACAGAATGGCTAACTCAATACTACTTTAACAACCGTTCGATTCCCACAGGCTTTATCTAACATTACACTTCGAATTTTAGACTATGTTATGTGAGACGGGCCCTTGTTCGTTGGGCTTTACATGGTCTTTTAGGCACTTGTTTGATAATAATATGACTTGTTCCATTTGCTGGTCTTGATTTGTTCGCCCTTAGAAATGACATCCTTGCTTCCTACTCGTCCAAGCAAGTCAGTGACGAGTGACGACCGACCATTGATCGTATTGTCCTTACCATTGTTCCACGGTCTTATTGTCTTTAAGGGTTGTGCCAATGCCAAATTCCTATTTCAAAATGTCATACATTTTGTTTGAGGGATCAAGGTCCAGCCTTGCTAGATTGGTAAAACAACTAGGAAGGGAAAGCTGTTCCAGGATCTGTTCTATCTAGCTTTTTTTGTCCATGAAGCTTCCTGTTTTAGCCCATTCCATGACAAAATATGTTGGAATAACTATAGTCAGTTCATTGTGTGATGCCAATCAACCCTAGGCTGTTAAATGTGATGCTCAATGGGAAAATAGCACTCAAAAAAATGAAAAAAAAAAAAAAAGGAAGAATAAAATGAATGACTGGAGTTGACAACAACATTTGTTTTTGAATTCATGCAAGATCTGTCCTATCTGCAAAAGACTCTAATCACAATGTATTACAAAGACTGATGTTATTGAGAGACGATAGTGGAGTAAGACTTCTCACTTCGTGTTCTTTTGCCACTAGCTCTTTTATCATGTTGTTAAGAATCATAGTGGCAAAGTCGTTCGTCGGTCTGAATACCTTTTGTCAAAGCTGTGGTCAGCTCACCATCTCAGACATCCCTGATGAGCATGAAGCATCACGGCCTCCCTGTGTCTGTCTTGTATTGTAGGACTTGCAATTCAGGCATTTATGTGCCACAATATGGAACTGGACATGGGAGGTGGCTCCACAATCGTTGCAGAGAATCCATACCTATTTGTCAATACAAAACTCGAGTTAGAGACTGGTTGCCATTGTGCTAAATAAAGCCATGCTCCTGCTCATTGCTCAAAACTTACCATCTTATTTTGGTATATTGCAGGCATAGGGGTTGAGGCAATCTACATTAAAATTTAAGAGAACATTGTCAGGACCCCAGAGCATGAGTTACACAAGCATAAGCACACTATCATTTGGAAAAGAAACAACCACGCCACAAGCTTGTTAAGTACCTCTTGATCGAGCTTTCTCCACCAATTGGACATATCACAGATAGATTTCGAGCAGACTGGACAAGAGTACCTGCAGTATTGAGAAATAAATTAGAACTCAGCGGTTGAAATTCACAAAAAATCAAGCAGGAGGGAAACTAGGATGAAACCAATTAGAAAATATCATTGCTGATTCTCTCAATAAAGTAGCAATGCATTTCTAAGACTTTTTCACTTCCTATAATTGCATGACTCAGAGATGCAAAGAGTGAGCAGGGTATTAATAGTGCTTACCGATAATGTTGCTCCATCTCTCGCAAACATTCCAAATGCATTGTATGTCCGCAAGGTAAGACAGTAACATCTTTCATTGTGTCAAAAAGAAACTGCAAAAAATATGTCATCCCACTAAGAACGACCCTTTTCCCAAATTTTGCTTAATATCATATGAAAGTTGCAATGATGCTTTTGTTTACCTCAAAGCAAACAGGGCAATTGCAGTGCATTGCTCTCTCCACACAACGATGTGCATCCCTCATTAATTTTGCATAGCAACATCCTGTTGCGGCAATTTCAAATCCTCGGTATATCAGTTTGATGACTGGCTAAAATCCTCAGCATTTGATGAACTAAAAGCTATCTACTTTCACTTACCACATTTGTCGCAGTGAAAGAAGTTCTCCTCACCTCCAGTTCTGCAAAGCAGTCACAGCAGAGATAATGAGATATGGCGTGAAATTATCAAACAGTAGAGTGATCCTTATCAAGAAGATGGTTTTGGACCTTTGGTAGAGATTAAAGGTTTGAGCATAAACATGAAAATCTTACCTGCATATGCCACATTCATCACAGTGGTATTGGTTTTTGGAAACCTAAACAATGTAACAGTTTATCACATCAGCAATCGTTTAAAGATTTGCAAGCCAAGACTTGTAAGATTACAAGTTACCAAATAACAACAAAAGACTTACATCATCGTCAAAGAATTTGCATTTAGAACAGAAGTACTTCCCCATACAGACTCCGCAATTGATGCAACACTGTTGTACCTGAAAGGATACAAGATTATAAAAACTGTGATTTAGTTTCAACTTTTAAGAAATAAAATTGTTTTAGTCTCAATGTTTGGGAAACTCACATCTTGTTCTGTGTCACATAGGGAGCAAATGATCTGAAGTTGTCAAAAGATAAGATTAGACAAATCATATCAGAATCTGAAGAAATATATTTTGGGCCTGCTAAGCAATTCTAGATTGCTTCATGTTTTTTGGGTAAAGGGTATTTCATTAATCCAAAGAAGGGAGAATGCGCTACAAGTCAACAGTGCAAAGAATGAACTTGTAGTAACTGCCTAAAAAATCCCCCAATTTTTACATTAGCAGCTAAAAGAGAAAACCAAACAGTATCCACAGAATAACTGCCACTCTAGTTATGAATATTACTAAGGGTAAAACGAACTGATGCCAGAGATTCGGACAGCTACCTTATCACAAGATATTCTCTTTTTCGGCTTACTCTTTGTAGTCATTCATTTGCAAAACTGGTGCACACTCTATCTAGTCTGTTTTATTCACGTGCTTGTCTGCTGTCTTTTGCCGAAAGTTTATGGATAATGTATGAGACCGCGGATCACAAAATCCACTTGCTTTTTCACACAAAAAGGTGTGAAAAAAGTAGCAAAAAGGTAGAGATTCAATTTGACAACCACATAATATTTGTTGTCTTATTTCTCTCCCTCTCTCTCTTCTTATTTTTTGTTTTTTATTTTCAGGATCTAGATATGTAAACAGAAGGAAGTATCCAAATCAATTGTCAAAATCAAAGTGACCCCATTTACCTTGTTACAGCTAACCATTCCACATTGATCATGCAAAATATGGGACATAACTTCAAGGAAATGAGCCATTTTTCCAGGAAAAACAGTCAGATTAAAGGAAAAGGAAGTTAAACTTATCATTTTGGAGGTCTAAATTATTCCATTGAATATCGGAAAATTGACACTATACCAAATAATAATAATAATAATAATAATAGACAAACCTTTTCAATTTCATGGCGTGGAATATCATGTCGCTGAAGAGGATTAGATTCCAAGGAATTCTGTTCATAGATTTTGAAGATCAGAAAAACCAGGCTCAGCTGAGCTAATATTAACCCATATCATAACTTTTTCTTAAGCAAAAAGAGAAAGACAGAAAGAAAACATATCCAACTATACTTTAGCTTCGTTATGACAATGTCTACAATCAAAGATCTCATTGCAACATGGTGCTCTGATCTTACATCTCCTTCTGTAATGCGAGCACCTAATCATATACACCAATTAGAAAAAAAAAAATCCCAAACAAATTATCAAAATTTCAGAAAAACTTCATGAAAGGCAAAACCAGAAGTTCAAATTGAAAAGCAAAGAAAATGAGACATACCCATAATTCCCTAATCCAATCTCCATCAAAGGAGCATTTTGGTTTCCACATTCAACAGATTCCAATCCATTAGTACATAACTTTATCTCAGATACACCTTCCATTCTCTTCAGTCTGAACTGAACCCCCAAAACCCAAAGTTAACAAAACTAGCAAAAATCAAACAAGAAAAACAACTCATAAAAAAAAATCAAAAGAAAAAAACATAACCCAAAATCGAATGTTTCCTTCAAGAAAAATGTTTAGCAAAAATCATAGCTTTGGTTACAGAAAGAGAAGGTAAACGAATCGGTATTAATGTGAGTGAATTTTAAAACGAGCTGAATCAGCAACAGGGAAGAGCGTGGCATCTCAGACAATCAGTCAGACAGCTAAATCAGATATTACAGTGCATTTAGTCATTAACCACTATAATTAGAAACTGTCTTCTCTCTGGAAATTTTTCTTAACAACTTACCCGGTATTAACGCACTTTAAAGTTGTGTTCTTATAATAGGATAACACAAAAACTCAGAGAAGCTTTTGCTTTGAATCAGTAAGCTAACCGGTTGACAAACAGAGTGAGTTGGGTGGTTCGAGACTCTGAGTTATGAGGAGTTTCCAGTCCCATGGTTTTTTTATAGATCGGGAGGACAGACAGGCGGGAAAACAAAGGCGGAAAAGCTACATAGCAAAATTACCATGTATGTACTTGACTTTTGGAGTTCTCCCACAAATTAGAGTTTCCTTTTAGGGGCACTTTTGGGATGAAGCTTTTCTTGAAAGAAGGTTTTGCATCTCAAGCCCAATGGCAATTGCCAAATAGTATCATACACGCTGCTTCAAAATTCGTAATTAAAATTATTAATTTTTTATAAAATATTAATATATAATTTATCGATAGTATATAATAATTATATACTAATAAAATATTAAATATATATATTAAAAAAAGGAGCATAACCCTTAAAAAGAAAAAATTTTAATTTGAAATTAAAATTTTTATATTTTTATAAAATCTTTTTAATCACTAAATAATTAAGGAAAGAATTTGATAGATTAAAATTAATTTTGTTTCTCAACTTAATTTTTCATAATAAAAGTATAAAATAAATGGTAATTATATATTTAGAATATATTAAACAACTCTTTAAAAAAATCATAAAGACATTTACATGAAAATAATCAAATATTTACTTTTTATTTTAATTTTTGAATCGACATGGAAATGCTGTGGAGACCGAACCATTGGTCCATTCCGGATAAATCTATTAAATAGAAGCAAATAATGAGCTGGAAAAAAAATGGAAAATGAAAGATAACCTGAAAACCACGCCAATTGCAACGCGTGAAAAGTGATTAGATCGGGTATCTTACAATTGTGCCATCAGATTTTGTTAGAAAACAGTGGACTTTCTTTGAACCGTGGTAAGCTAAAGACATGCACTGACAAAGAGCATTAGGATATTGCTATCTGAGGTTTAGCTGACTAGGCTTGGGACCATAAAATTCTTTTCTTTATTTTCTGTTAATGGCCGGCCCTGCTGGTTAGCTCGTGATTGGTCGATGTTTCTCAGTGCGGGTGGTTATGGCCGGAGATAAAGAGCGGTAACAGATTGAGATAAATTGAGATAAAAGGTATAAAGTATATATTAATAATTATAAGTTATTTGAGTTTGATTCGAATAAAATTAAATTTTAATTTAATTATTATTAAATTAAATTTAAATTTTAATAGTTTAATTTATTGATTAAATTTAGTTTGAATATTTTTATTTTTGATTTGAATATATTATAAGCTTAATTAAGTTTTATATTTTAATATATTTTATTTATTTTAATTAATAAAATATTTTGAATTTGAATGTAAATTTTAATATAAATAATTAAGTTTTTATAAAATATAATAATAAAACTTATTTTTATATATTAATAAAACAAATTTAAATAATTTAATTTTTATTTCAAATTAAAATTTAATTAAAAAAATTTGATCAAATTTAAATCAAATTTTAAATTTTAAATTAAATTTAATATTAAACTTAATATTATATCAATTTAAATTTAATCTATTACACCTCTGATTGTTAGCCGCTTATAGGGTTGCGGGAGTTCCAAAGGCACTTTTTTATGATTGTTGGGAGAGGTGCTACCACATGTGGTTTAAGATAGAAAGTGATAAAACTTGCAGGTGGCTTGGACCACATAAACCAGAAAGAAAAGAAATAAAAGGGTTGGGAGTGGGAAAGTGAGATATTGTGAAAATCACAAATAATCAAAGGTTTATCTTTGTAAAAAAAAATATATTTATATCTATCTACTTTAATGAAGGCAAGGCTTGTATCCCTTTAGGAGAGAGATTGTGGGTTCATTTTGAAACACTAAGGGCCCATTTAGGCATAAATCTTAACTAGAGGCCCAAAAGAAGTAATGTAGTAATCGGGAAGACTCAAACCCAATAGATCAGAAAGTTAGAAATTTTAGGTTAGTTTTGTAATCTCAGCGGGCGAGCCCGAGACGAAATTAGGGTAACACAAGGCATCAAATAGGAGCCGTCCATCCCATGAAAGACTTATATCAACCGTCGAATCTTTCCAACGTTTCCTCTATATAATTGACTCCTCCGACCTCCGCTGCTTCACAGCCTAGGGTTTCTAACTTTCTTCCTCCCCTGTTTGTTGATTTTGAAGTTAGGGTTTCTGATTTGCTCAAAATCATATCTTTTCAGTAAATCGTTTGTTTAAAATTTGAAGCTTCACTATCTGGTCAGTGAGGATTCAATCCATTCCCACATGACTCGTTCCCTTGAAGCGAAATTGATTGTGTTGCTAATTTCTAATCTCTCCCTCAAATCTTTTCTCTCTGTTTTTGGGAGAACACTTGGGCAACTAGATTTTCAAAGGTTTAAAGACTCAATATTTGTTTTGTTTGAGACGAAAGTAGTTTGTTTTGATTAATGTTTTGAACGTTGAGTTATATAACAGAACCTGTAATGAGTTGCGAATATGATCGCAGATCTTTATGAACATCTAAGGGACTGAGTTCTATTCTGATAAATGCTCCAAATTTCCTTTTTTTATTCAAATTTTTTAATTTTTGGGGGATTTAAATCGATGGCTTCTTTTTATCAATCTGAAACTTAATTTTAATGATTATAAAATTTGAGTTTTTGTGATAAAGGGAGCCTAAACAGATTGTTCTCCTCGCTATCCAGTACCTCAATTTTGTGGCATTTGGACGTCGGAGAACTATATTAAAACCTTTTGTATTTAGTTGGTTTTTGTTTTTTTTTTTTCAAAATTAATTGAAACTTTTGATTTTATACATATTTTTTTGGTATAATTGTAAAAATTTCTTGTTAGCAAAAAGATTCAAAATTTTTCCTTTAGAGAGAATTTAAATGATTAACCAAAAAAATTAAAAGAGAAAACGAACCGAAGGTATATTGGATTGGTTCATGAAATCTACTAAAACTGTGCCGAAAATTATTTCAGGCCCGAGCATTAGCCTCAAGCTGAAGCCCAATGGGTTTTGATCTAAATTGAGTAATCTCAAGCCCAATGGGTTTTGATCTAAGTTGAATTCTGGTGGAACCCAAAGATTGGGGTAAGCGTGGGGTTGGCAGTGCCGTTCGAAAATAAAAGCGTGGACTATAAGGATGAGAAATTTTAGCCTTGTTTATCGAATAGAGCGATCAGAGTTGGGCACTGTACCTAAACTGACCTAAGCGGAAAGAGAGCAAGGGAAAGAAAAATCGCCATCCTCAAGTTTGTTAATTGATATCCCTGGCAATCTTTCAACATTTCCAGATCATAATATTGGCTTACTGTTAAAAATGATTTTTATATTTAAAAATTATTTTTGAATCAATTTTACTATTAAGCAATAAAAAAATAACAAAATTTCAATTTAAATTTCAAACAAGAAATAATTGAAGAGATGCTTTTGCTGTATAAAATGCTTTTATAAGAAATCATTATATTATTTTATGTATTTTAATTATTAGTAATACTTTTTATAATAATACTAAATTTTTAAAATTTTTAATCACATTTTTAAACATATTTTTTAATTCAAAATTTTTTTAACTATAACAGTAATATTAAACTAACTTTAATTAATGACAAACAATAATCCTAAGAAACTTTGAAGTTTGAATAATGGAAAAAGTTATTTAATTTCAATGAAATAGTAAGAGAAGTTATTTTTTAAAAAAATGAAAGAAAAGCTGATCAACAAAAGCATCAATAGAAACATCATTGAACTATTCCTGTCTAATTGTGAATGCTCTAAAAGAAAAATAAAATAAAACCAAGTCATTTTAAATGGATGACTTCGTGCATGCTTCTCTTGACATCAGCACCAGGCATTCAGCGCCACAACGCTCATAGATGGGAATGCGTCTTGGCAACGGTAACTTCAACGAAACTGCAGAGAGAGACACCTGTGTGGGTGTGGGACCCACGTGATTCTTCTCTCCTAAGAATTTTGAAGAAGGAGAAGAACGAGATGAGGTGTTCAAAGTTTTGAGTTCACTTGCCAAGTCAACACACACACACTCTTTAAAACGCACCCGTTCTATAACGTCTTTGCTTTGACCTATTATTACTTCATTGGGGCACCTCTTTGGACGGCTACCGTTGTAAATTGGCCACTCTTTTTTTTTTTTTGCTTATATTCAATTACTTTTTTACCCCCACCCTCCCTCCATCTTGATTTCTAATTTTCTATTTCTATTTAAATAAGCCAACCTTCCTTTCAATTATTAATAAATTTAATAAAATTTCTTAGTATTTCATATCAGAGTCAATTAGTGTCTATAAACAATTATTAAGAATTATTTAATTTATTATTTTGAGAAAATCATTTTCTTAATACACTATTTTATTAAATAAAAATAATTTGTTAATTGTACTTATTATCCTTCAATTTCATTTTAACCAATGCACTAGACATTGATTACCATTTTCTTTTATATAAAATCCAATAATTATATGGTATATTTTTTAATTAAAACATAATATAACAACAAAAAATAAAATAACAATAAGATAATTTAAAGCATTGCTCCGTTTTCTAACTACCTTCTTATTATCTTCTTAATGTTTGTTAAAAAACTACATTCACAAGCTTTGTTTTGTGTTTATTTATACAATAGTTGATATTCATCTATTAATTAATAAAAATTGAGTATTTTATTTTCGTTCTTATTATTTAAAGAGTTAAATTTTTTTAATTTAAAAAAATAAATCTTATTATTAAATTAAAAATCATGCTTTAATTATTAAATTAAATATTCAAATGCAAGTTGATTGTCTTAGTTTGATCAATGGAAACTAATTCTAAATTTAATTTTAAAAAATCTTATGAATATTCCAAACCGCTAAAAAATTGGCAAAAACTTTTAGGATCTAAAATTTGAGTGAGAATCTAAAAAAAATCTCTAATTTTCCCTGGGAGATAACGATAGTAGGGGTAACCAAGACTTTCCACAAAATAAAAGGAGTGCCCAAATCAAAGTCATTGGTCAAAATCCCTAAACCATAAAAAAAACTCCGTCTTTAACACGCAAAGCCAAAACCCCCTCCACCGCCCTGTATATATACCCTCTCTCTGACGCAACCAGGGGAAAAAAAAGAACAAAAAAATCTAAATCCTAAATTCGAACGTTGTTAAAAAAAAAAAAAAAAAAAAAAAAAAGAACAAGGGAAAACTGAAAAGAAAAAACGCGATGTCGTGTTCGGTTGCTGTATCAAACTCTCCTGTGTTTTCTCCGTCGTCGTCTCTTTTCTGTAACAAAACTTCGATCATCTCTCCGTCATCTGAAGCTTTGAATTTAACGCTGACTCACCTAAAACCTTCGTCTTCTCCTGCTTCTCCGTCTCCTTCTTCGCCTTCGTCGCCTTTTAGGCTTCGGCTTCAAAAAACGCCGTCTGGGTCTTTGTTGTCGTCTTCTTTTTCTGCCTCAAAGTCAACTTCTTCTTCGGGTTCGGATTCAACTGCAGGTTTAGGACTGGGTTCGGTGTCAACGATATTGAAGAGGAAGAGGCCGGCGAGGCTGGATATACCAGTGGCAACGACGGCTATGTGTTTTGGGGTTCCAGCGACGCCGTGTGAAGTGAGGAGAGAGGTTGAGAGAGAGGGAGATGGATATTCTGTTTATTGTAAAAGAGGGAGGAGGGAGGCTATGGAGGATAGGTTCTCAGCTTCTGTAAAACTCCAAGGAGATTCTAAACAGGTATTTTATGGTTTCTGGTTTTTTTTTTCTTTATTATATTTTTGATATCATGTTCTGCTCGATTGATTTTAAGGAATTTAGGATCCTAGAACTTTTTGAAGTTATGATAAATGGGGGAAAAAAGGGCTTTGGGAGAATTCAGAAATTTTGCATAAAGGCTTAGTCTTTGGATGGATTTATTAGAATTATAGGAAGGAATAAATTTGTCATGTTTTTTAATTCTTCTCAATTAGTATTTATGTTCCATTAGTATAAAACGATGTTGAAAGAATGGGAAAAAATGAAAAGATAGATAGTGTAATTGATTTTGTAATAAGTCCAGGCTTTGGCATCAAAATTTTGATTTGGAAAGGGACTCATATGGTTCTATATGATAATTGCAGTCATTTTTTGGTGTGTTTGATGGACATGGAGGTCCTAAAGCGGCAGAGTTCGCAGCTCAGAAATTGGAGAAGAACATTGTAGATGAAGTTGTTAGAAGAAGAGACATGACTAAGGTAAAGAAAGCTGTTAAAGAAGGTTATTTGAAAACAGATGCTGAGTTTCGTAAGGAAGACGTCACTGGTGGAACATGTTGTGTGACAGCTTTGATCCAAAATGGAAACCTTGTTGTATCTAATGTTGGTGATTGTCGTGCTGTTTTGAGCAGAGGTGGTGCTGCTGAAGCTCTCACCTCTGATCACCGACCTTCAAGGGAGGATGAAAGGAACAGAATTGAGAATTTGGTAAGTGGATTCTCAATAAATCATTGTGACCTTTGCTTTCTTTACAACTTGCATTCATGATGATTATCCGGCACAAACTTGATCTGAACTCAGACTGATGCACTGTGAAATTTGTTTTTGCAGGGTGGCTATGTGGACTTATGCAATGGTGTTTGGAGAATTCAGGGTACTCTAGCTGTCTCCAGAGGAATTGGAGACCAGCACCTTAAACAATGGGTAATAGCTGAGCCGGACACTAAGATCATTAGTATCAAACCCGAATGCGAGTTCTTAATATTAGCCTCTGACGGCTTATGGGATAAGGTAGGGTGTTGAGTTTTTTTTTTTTTTTTTCTCCCTTTAAAATACTTCATATCTTTACTATCTTTAAAATAGATGATTTTTCATATTAACCTAAATAGATTCTTTTTTTTTTTCAGGTTAGCAATCAGGAAGCAGTTGACATTGCCCGTCCTTCATGTGTTGGCATCAATAAGCCAAATCTATTGGGTGCCTGTAAAAAGCTTGTCGACCTTTCTGTTTCACGAGGCTCATTTGATGATATTAGCGTGATGCTTATTCAGCTGGAGAACTATATTTGATTGTCTAATTTCTAAAATGTAGGCAACCAATTAACTCATAGGATTGAGTCTGTCTGATATTTTCCTGATTGCTGTTATGATGGGAGGAGAAGACAGACAGAATCTCAGTACAAGTATGATTCATTTAGAGCTAGTTGCTGGAGGTGTTTTGAGACTCAGATGTGTTAACAGATGCTGTAGAGGTGGAAGTTGGGTTATTTTGGTCGGGCACCATGATTTAGTCTTTTTATTGACCATTTCTTTGTGGGGATTTTTATACCCACGGCTGAAGAAGAGATCACAGAGACTCAGTTGTAAACTTGTTTCTATATTTGACATTCATTAACCTAAGAGTTGTACATCAGGATATTCTTTATATAAACAATTTTTGAATAATTCTTTTCAATGGCGCGATTCTTTTTTGTATACATTGTTCTCAACTGTCTTACATATTATCTTACAGTTACAGATTAATTGATCCTGTTGATGAAACTTCTAAAGGCTGTCGTATGAAATAATAACTTCGTGTTTTTCATGGTTTTTCTCGCCCTTATTTATGCGGCAAAATTTTTACCCATTGAATAAAAACTTATTGCGATCATGCCTTTTTACCTAAAGTTTTTTATAATTTCCCTCTTTGTCTCACCTCTGACGATGAGGAATTTGATCATTTCGAAGCGTTTCAGGCTTTTGCGAACGTCCAAATTGTGGACGGTGTGTAAACATCATATTCACTCTAGTTTGAACCATCGTTTACTTTCTGCTCTTTCTGGTATTTTCATATTATTTATATGTATGCTGTGGGAATATATGCATATTGAGATTGGATAATCTTTACTTCTGTTTCAAAGAGTTTCAGGAACTGTGGATGCCCAATTTTTGGTTAGGTTGTAAGAATAATTCGTTACTCTTTTCTCTTCTGATATTTTCCTACCATCTTAAGCCTAACATCATGCATGTAACCATGCTGATATAAGAGAGCGAATTTGACACAATTTTTGACCAGGAATACAACATGCGAATTGAAATTATTGTTTTGTCGGTCAGCTCAAGGTAATGATCGTCGACCGCATTGACGGTGTCAACCAGCTTTTGGTATGTTTTATGTGGTGGATTCATAAGGCAATGATGAAACAGCAGAAAACTTAAGATGCCATTAAAACCAATACACATTGACCAAATCTTTTTTCACGAGGAAAAAGAAAAGAAAAGAAAATATCCTGATTCCAGAAAGAATGCAAATTATTTCCCGCACTTGGATCGGAGAAAGAATCATATCTTCATGTATAGTGATCAGCTGTCTAATTAGGACCCCTTCAGGCCTCTACCCTTTCACCAAATTTGACCCACAAATAGTACAAGAGAACGACCAAATTTCCAGTTGCTTTTGTTTTTTGTTTTTATTATTATCCTACATCACATGTTCCTAGAAAATACCGCAGTGTTTTGTGGAATGAGCAAAATGGGTTTGTTGGCTTGCATCATGCTTCATGTTATATGTTTTAAGTGTTCAAACTTGTTAATGTCTGTCTAAGCCAAAAGGCCCAAAACACATGCAATGTGTATGACAAGTTCTGATACATTTTTCTTCTTGTCTTCAAACTTCCGAGAACCCTGCTCATGATCCAGCAAAGTAACAAAATCTAAAGGATTCTGAAGATCAAAGGACAGCAAAATCCATTATCATTGTTTTGACTTTGAATCATTCACAAGGTAGAAACAAGCTCACATGAACAACAGTACCCAGAATAAATTAACCAAACTTCCGGAATTGCGTGATACAATTTACAGGGAGTTGGACTGAAAGCATATGAACTTGAATGAAGAATCAATTTTATGTGATTTTGTAACAACTGGCGATTTTATTTGTTTTTGGTTGTGCATGAATCTCAAGAAAACAGAGGGTATCAAATTGGGGGGAATGAGGTTTGCATGTCAACCGCACAAAATGGAAGGGTTTGTTGTTCATGCACGTTAGACTGTCGACCAGTCGATTAATGTGCTTCTTCTTTGTCTTGCTGTCTTACGACAAAGGTTGGCAGCCTTGGAACAAACCCCGCTGTTTTTCTGCCTTCCTAACAAACTTAGTCGGCTATTTGTTTCAGAAGTAATGCTGCACTTACTACAGGTTTTCATTAATTGAATTTGAAATTAGGTTCGTCTATTGTTCCATCCTGATTCTCACGATATAGTTTGGTAAAAGAAAAGGGTTTAACCCTAACCTTAATATAAGAAGTAAAATTTACCCAAATGTTTTAAATTCAACTTCTTTTTATAGATTTATAAGAACACTGCAGGCTTTGAAGTGTTCTAATTTACTTCTTACAAACGGTAAAAACCAAAATTTGTGGTCCAAACGCGTTTAAGTCCTTTTAAATCTGTAATTTTTAATAATTTAATCGGAACGCATGCTATTTGAGTTAATACTCATTCTAAATATTTGGATTTGGTAATAATGGAAATCAGATTTGGTAAGTATCACATGTGGATGATAATGGATAGACATGAATAGCGTCATAGCTTAGGAAGATTTATGAGAATTTAACTTTTCCATTCTAAGAGAAATGTAATTTCAAAACTTCCAAGATATAGATTGGATCCAGTGAACAAAGTCCTTTTACCTGATGAGAACCATATAATATTCCTTTTGACATTGCCTTTCGTTCATTAATTATGAGTATTTATGGAGCTTTCCAATGCAAACACGACAACAACAGAATAAACTCATTCGGCGATTCCCCCAATATTGAACAACAAAGGCTCTATTATTTACGAGCCAAGTGGCTTTTGAAAAAAAGGTTCAATTGACCAAACGCAGTTGGAAACGTTCTTTTCTTTTTCTTTTTAAAGCATTGGATGGATAATTGAGGGCTACCCTTTCTTCCATTTCCTTTGTTTGTGCCCATTCAAGTTTACGTGGACAACAATTTCTCTCTTTCCCCTTTCCTTTCCCTTTGAGTAAGGCAATCGTTCTAGCTTATCCAATATTCAGGCCTTGTTATAACCATATTATAGTGGAATATTGCTATGCTACCCTTTGTACGTAATGACTGATGACAGATAAGCTGTTAATTTAACAAGCAGCGGGAGACATGGCATTTCGTGAGGCCCATGACTTTGACAAATCAATCAAAAGAATAAATAAATAAATAAAAGCAACTCCCCTGCTAAATCAACACATGCATGGTTTTCAGATTAGCATGGAAATACAATCTGGAAGGCAAAACAAAACTATATAAAGTCCTAAGACAACGCGTATCCGCAATTCTGAGCGTGATTATCTACTTGAAATGACCTGAATTTCCGCAATATTAATACAAATACTTGAAACTTATTGGCAAGGCCTCAAAGGGTATCGTTTCTTTGGTCATAAAATCTTATCCTATTCAATTTGACCCTTAATTCATCCAATAGCTAGGGACCCTTTTGACAATGCCCCAAATTGGTTTGAAGAAAGTTTGTGACTGTCAAGTATTGGTACTCTTGAGTACATGGAGGTTGTCCGAAGGTATTGATCTTTCAAAAGATTCGAATGGGATTTGCCTTGGGAGATTGAGTTGTCATACAAACAATTTTCAACTATATTTTAATTTTTATTAATAAAAATTTTTTAAATTTATTTTAACATTAAATTTATTTGATGGAGGCTGGTGGCGCACGTCAGTAGACTTCTACTCAAACTCTAACTGCAAAAACCAGATACAAGCATCGTGGGGGAGATTTAGACATCTGGGTTTTCTCTCTCTCTCTTAACCAACAGCCTCCAAGTTTTTTGTTGTTGCAACGTGTACCTACCATCTTCTGCCATGTAAACTGACAGTGATGCCTCCCACATTTATTTGGTTTCAAACAAGACTCAGAACCGAAAACTCTGTCCCTTTGACCCCACCGCACCTAGTGGACTTGCCTTTTGGCCAACCAAGTTGGCACCTCTAAATATTTCACTCTCTTCTAATCCCCTACTTCAGAGCCACGTGTAACTTCATCCATCGTCTTCAAGTTTTTTTAGCATAACCACTCAACATAGGTGGAGATCATCAACGTTAGTAGTGTACAATTTTTTTTAGACAAATCAAGAGTTTCTTATGAAAATTTTGTAAATTCATATTCATCAATTTAAAAGTTAACATTGACGTTCTCATTTCGTTCCATTTTATAGAAGTAAACAAATCGAAGGGACAGAAATACTTGGGACACGTTTTAGAAGAGTGATTTTGGTTTTGGAAATATTCTATAAATTTTGCTTTCCACGAACCGTGTAAGCTATGACCATGACAAGCAATCAATGGCAAGAACAAATCTTGCAAGTAAAAAACCCAACTTCGCAACCAAATCAACAGCTTAGATCAACCCCACATGGCCCCAGGATAAGGATAAAACCCAGAATCATCCTTCACTCTACCCACTCACCCTTTTACGTCAAAACAGAAGCCCTGTTCCAAGTTCAAAACAAACACTCGTGACATAATCAAACGGTTTTCTGAATCATCCATTTATAAATTCCACGTAAGACTCAATATATTTATTAAAATGTTTAGCTTACACGTATTTAAATACCCATTTGGGCCCTGAAAAACACACGCTAAAAAGAAACAGGAAAGAAAAAGTTCTTGAGTTTCAGAGATGGAGAAACAGAGTTATACCCAGAAACTTTCTTGGACCAGGGGGAAGTGTTTAGGCAAAGGCTCCTTCGGTACTGTCAGCTTGGCAATCAAAGAATCAGACGGTGACGTTTTTGCAGTTAAGTCTGTCGATTTAGCGACGTGTCTTCCGAAGCAGTTGGAGTCTTTGGAGAACGAAATTAGGATCCTCCGTTCGCTTTCCTCTCCTTATGTCGTTGAGTATCTCGGCGATGATGTGACAAGGTATGAGTCTCCTACGACGTCTAATCGGAATCTTCACATGGAGTACTTGCCAGGTGGCACCACTACTGACGAGGAGATTATGAAACGCCGGTTGGCTGACATGGATGACAGAATTTTACGGTGGCACACGCGTTGCTTAGTTTCGGCTTTGGAGTACGTGCACGGCGAAGGCATTGTACACTGTGATGTGAAAGGGAAAAATGTTTTGGTGGGCCCTGATTTCACCTCCGTAAAGCTAGCGGATTTCGGCTCAGCGATTGAGATTAAAAAGGTGGGCGCGGGTGACAGGTGTAGGTCCCTAATTACGCCACGTGGAACCCCTCTCTGGATGGCGCCGGAGGTGATTCGAGGTGAGTACCAAGGACCGGAGAGTGATGTTTGGTCCTTAGGCTGCACCGTCATCGAGATGGTCACCGGTAAGCCAGGTTGGGAGGATCAAGGTTTCAACTCGCTATGTCGAATTGCTAACTCGGGGGAATTGCCCGAGCTACCGACTCAGCTATCTGAACTTGGTAAGGATTTCGTGGAGAAATGTTTGAGAAGGGATCGGAGCCAAAGGTGGAGCTGCGATCAGCTGCTACAGCATCCATTTGTAGCATCGGCTTCAGCTCCGAATATGACTGGGGAATCTTCTCCACGTTGCGTGCTCGATTTCGCCAACTCCGATTTCGAAGAAGACGAAAATACGGAGAATTGTGAAGCTTCGGCGATAGAGAGGATTGGTAAATTAGCGACGGAAGGCGGGGTTATTTGGGAATCGGATGGATGGCTGGCGGTGAGGAGTTACGCTCGTGAATCAGGTGTGAATTGTGACGAAGGGACAAGTGCAGAATATGTGCAATTGATGAGGACAGAGCAGGAAACGGAGGGGACAAGTTCGGTATATTGGAGTTCGATGGGAATCAGGCAAGGAATTGAAATGACGATTTCGGAATTTTACGATTATTTTGATAGCAGTAATTCAATCGAGTGGCAGTGCAGTAATTACAAGGGTGTGAGAGGGTTAAAGTCGTTGAGTGGTGGGCTACGGTGCGAGTGCTCGGGTTCGAGCTGCCGGTATGGGTCACAAAAGGTGGAGTTAGCGGTGGCGAAGGGAGAGTTGAGATTCTACATATTTTGTAATTTATTACAACTATTTTTGTTTGATTTAAGAATATTCACATCTATTTTAATGGTGTTTTTTAGTTACTCCTTTGTTACTATATTCTTCACCTTTGGTTCTCAGCCTAATTTAATGGTCATGCGATTCGACCATTTCATTTTCAAGTTCAAACCTGAAGAAAAAGTAATTCTAGACTTTCCCAGTCATCACAAGAAATACTCCGCTTCTTAATGACACTTCTTTTATCCCAAAACATTCTGGAAAAAAAAGGCACTAGACAAAATTTAAGGCTTTGTCATAGGCCACTAATCTCAGTAATGGCACACTTCTTTTGAACAATTTAAAGGTTGTGGCTAGCTAATTTTTCAAGTTGGTTTAATGGGGCGTGCAAAAAGCATGGCTTGGATTTATTCACTTTCATTGGAATTTTGGTTCCAATTATTATATGTTTGGAAAGTCAATATCAACGTAATTTAAGCTCAATAAACTTATTATTTCAACATTTTTATATTTTTGGTTTATAGTGATATTTTCTTTTACAAAAAAAATTTAAAATAATTAAAAATATATTATAGACGTTAAATTAAAATTAAAATTTATTAATTTTATCTTTTAAAAATAATTGTATCATATATATATAAATATAATTATCTTAAGTTTGAATTCTTTAAAGAGATTTTTAGATAAAAATATAAGATAGAGCAATTTGAGGATATTTGGATGAGGAGGGAGACAACAAATCTTATGGACCGAAAGGGGGCATCAAAATCGTATCTCTCATGTCTCCTAGTATTAGCTATTAGGGGTACTGTTTCATTGACGGCTTATTTGGTAATCGAGAAGGCACACACAACATTGGATCAGTTCAACGCACATCATCAACATCAAGTGCACAAACTCCATTAGTTTAAGTTCACAAATTGCTAAAATATAATTTGCCAATTTACTTATTCTTATCCTTTAAGATATGCTTGGTTGACGGGAAACAATTCTAACGAGGGATTAACAAAAACCAAACAAAATCATGACCGAAATTTGATTGGGAGACTTATTACCTAGTCTTGCCAAACCGGGTTCATGGTCGCTGCCAAGTCTTTGAACACTTTCTGGAAGTTTGGATGTTTCCTCTCAAAACATCCGTCTCTCCTGGAGGATTATCATGCTTTGTCAACAAACAACATGGAAATTTTCAAATATGAAATGCCAACTACTCGTTCATATCGATTATCGTACGATGTTAGATTCCTTTGTTGGTTTGGATTCTCATTGGCATATGAAACTTCCCGCGAATTTGCTCTGTTCCTTACATGGATGAAATTTAATAGTGTTATTATTTTTGTTTGGCCGCGTGGTCCAGTTTGGGAAGGTTCAACGTGTTCATAAAAAGGAAGCATACTCTCTGGAAACTGAGGTAAAGATATAAGTATTTACAACTGTTTTCCATGCTGTTTTAAAATAAAATTTAAAAGAAAAAGGAATACGCGGAAAGTGGAATATATAGTGTATGAACATTTGACCTAAGGAAGGATCATAAGGAAATATCTTGTCACATTTACATTGAAAATGAAATAAATTTAATTACTATTATTATTTCTTGGAATGTCTCTACCTTCAACTTGACCTTTACCAGGTTCAATTCTAGGTTGAATCATATTAGTAGGTTTTATTTATTTGTTCTTAATGTGAATATTTTAATTCCTTGGTCATGAAAGTTTTCTAATGTAATATTTAGTCTTTTAGTCTACTTTATTCTTAAAACAACATTGGCTTACCATTTAAGCAAAACTTTATTAAAAAATTCAAACAAACTTTCATTATTTTGTTATATAAAATTAAGATCATGTTTAATGTATAAGATTTTTGATAAGATAAGATAATAATAATCATCTTATATCGTATTTAATTTATATTTTAAAAAAATATGGGGATTATAAGGAGAATTAATATCTTATGGGTATAGGATTATTCAATCATCTCAAAGTTGAGAGAATTATTTTTAATCTATGGGATTAAACTTACATGTTTAATTACATCTTTAAAAATTATATCAATAATTTAAATTATATAAATTAAAAAAATAATTTTGACAAATAAATAAATTATCTTATTTTAATTCTTATATATATATTAAATACAAAATAAGATGATATTATTTAATTTAATTCTATTTATAATATCATTTTATTTTATCTTATTATAATCTTGTGTACTAAACTTGACCTAAGGTTATAAAATTTTATTCTACCAATTAAATCTTAAAAATAGATGAATAATGTTTAATTGATACAACTGTTAAAATAATATTTCTTATTTGTGATTTAATTCATCTAAATAAATTCGGTTTCAGGATGGAAAAACATTATAATTATTGTTAATTGAACTGAGTGAATTCTTTTGATTGGTAAACAAAAAAAAATACTCATTCAAATAAATTTAAGTAAATCTCTTTATAAAAATTAAAACATTTAGTTAAACAATTTACAAAGCAAATATTCTATATTATCATGATTTTAATTACAATAAAATAAAAGTCATAATATTATTTTATGCAATAAAAATTCAAGTACTCATTTCTATTTTTCAAGGAAGTTTGAATGTTTATTTTAGTGTTATGGCAAATAAAATTTGATGAATGGCTTTCAATATATTTAATCAGGCCAAATTCATAGTACCATTAATATAATATTGGGCGGTTGCATAGCCTTTAGGCGCCTATAATGTTGGAAAAGCCTTTTTCTCCAAACCCATCTTAGCAATTCTGACTCCTTATAAGAAGCCCAATCTCGTCCGTCTGGCTAGAAATCTAGGTAGAGTCCATACAAGCTCCAGATCTAGGCTTCACAAGCAGCTCCAGAGTCGATACCCAATCTCGTTCTTCTGGGTAGAAATCAGTTTCTGCTTTAGGGTTAGGCCTTATTTTCTTGAGCCCAAATTCCTAGAACTAATATCAACCTCATTCGATTTTTGTACACCAAGGTACAAGTCTCATAACGGTCCCGCTTTGTTACAAATCGAAATCAACAAAATTGAATAACTCGTCGACGAGAAGGGAAGACCCTTCTTCCCCCTTTTAGTTCTACACTCTTTAATTTTTTTTCTCTCTTCCATTGTTTTTGATTTCATCTCTCAGGTTTTCCTCCACTGATCGGGTTTCAAATCTTGAAACCCCAATCTAGGCCGCAGCCATGGCGGCTGCCAACGCTCCCATCACCATGAAAGAAACCTTAACGGTAAACACTACAATCAATATTCTCCACTCACTCTCTTTCATTTCATTCTTTGATCTGCTATATATTTTTTATATTTTCATTTTCCAGAATTTGTTTTTTTTTTTGTACTCTTTAAAAAATTTCTTCGCAGTTGCCGAGTATCGGCATAAATCCGTAGTTCATAACTTTACGCATGTAACTATGGAGTCGGATAAGTATATTTGCGTTAGGGAAACGGCTTCGCAAAATAACGTCGTTATAATCGACATGAACATGCCTATGCAACCTCTGAGACGTCCGATCACTGCCGATTCTGCTCTGATGAATCCGAACACTAAAATTCTCGCTTTAAAAGGTACATTTAATAAGCCTCTTAATTGGTGATAATGTTTGTTTCTTTAATGAATCAGTCTCGCTAATTTTCGCAAATTCTCTTTATTAGCGGTTGAATTTTACATCAATAGCTAATTAGTTGTACCGTTATAAATGTGAAGCTCAACTTCCAGGAACAACTCAGGATCATTTGCAGATATTTAACATTGAAATGAAAGCAAAAATGAAATCGTATCAGATGCCTGAGCAGGTTATTGTTTTTCTTTTAGGAACCTTAAAATTTTTTTGAGAGGCTTTTGATTTTAATTAATTGCGTTGATTTTTGTTATTTGCTATTTTACGCTGTGGATAGGTTGTATTTTGGAAGTGGATTTCCCCGCAGAAGCTAGCTCTGGTCACACAAACTGCAGCATATCATTGGTCCATCGAAGGCAAGTTATCTTTGTATGTTTTTTCCTTTCTTCTGCTAAATATGCATTTTGTCTTGAATTTAGCATTATGTTTATTATTTGAGTCCACAACTAATTTGTGATATTCTTCATTTCCTTTTGTTTCATCTCACATGCAGGTGAATCTCAGCCTGTCAAAATGTTTGATCGAACGGCTAATCTAGCAAATAATCAAATCATTAACTATAAATGTGATTCCAATGAAAAGTGGTTAGTCTTGAATGGAATTGCCCCTGGTTTGCCTGAGGTATGCAATGGCTTTCTTATTCTCTTTATCTTTTATGAAATTTGGTCTTATTGATTGGATTAGAATGCTTTTTCTTTGTTAAAAATGGTATCGGATACTAAAATATAATGTAGTTTTGAAGTGCCTGCCTCAGTTTTCTTATTTATGATAGTTGCTAAGCCTGTTGAATTATGTTTGCTTGTGTGTTACATATTTTTTAGTGGTGAATGTAGCAAGAATCAGATTCACTTGATATGTGGTATTTTTTTCCTTTTTCTTTTCCTTATTTTTCCAGATAATGACAATTTTTCATGCCACGAATATGTTGTGCTATTTGTGATCATTGATATTTTTTTTAAAATTCCAATTTTTTGTTGCAGCGGCCACAATTGGTCAAAGGGAATATGCAGTTATTCTCTGTGGAACAGCAGCGTAGTCAAGCTCTTGAAGCACATGCTGCATCATTTGCCACATTTAAAGTGCGGTTTTGCCCTCCAAGTATATTTTCTCTTTCATTGTCTTTTTCTAAAAATCTATATTCTTTTAAAATTCAATTTTTAAACAGGTACCTGGGAATGAAAACCCTTCAACTCTTATCTCCTTTGCAACAAAGTCATTCAATGCTGGACAAATAGCATCTAAGTTACATGTCATTGAACTCGGTGCTCAGCCAGGTCACTTTTTTCCATACTGGCATCTTCTTTACTGTATAAGCTGACACATGCACCTATAGAATTTGTTGCTTATCTTTATTTGGTTATTGCATGGTTAGATGCATGTATGTCATGCTTTATAAATCAAACTATGCTATTATGTTATTCCACAGTGCTTTTGCTGAACATTTTTTGGGTATTGATCTTGAAACTTCAAATCAGGCAAACCTTCATTCACAAAGAAACAAGCAGATTTATTCTTTCCTCCAGATTTTGCGGATGACTTTCCCATGTCAATGCAGGTTTGGTTTTGAGTTTCTATTGATCAGTCAATTATATACAACTTCAATTATTTCTCTAAAATAAAGGGGCTTAATGGTTTTTCTGGCAGATATCTCAAAAGAATGGTCTTATATATGTGATAACAAAGCAAGGCCTTCTTTTTGTGTATGACCTGGGAACAGCTACTGCAGTTTACAGAAATCGGATCAGTCCTGATCCTATTTTCCTGGCAACAGAGGCTTCATCCATTGGTGGCTTTTATGCAATAAACAGGTGACGCCAGGTTTTACTTGCCACTGTAAATGAAGCTACAATTAT